CCCTGTGTTTGTACGAAGCGAAACGGTAGTCGTAATTGGTCTGGAAAATGATGTAGGCATTTCCTTGTTGAACTTATCGATATATGTTTTTACCCACCGGAGTGTATATATCCTAGTTAACCCCTTTGAGCCTGTAATCCTGTTTCCTTGGCAACCACATTACAAGCCTTACCAAGTTTTGAAGTACCAATCTCTTTGAACCCTGTCACCTCCTAGAAGCACTTGAATTGTAATAAATATGGAAAAGTTAAAGTGTGGGGTGGTTGGTTGGGCTTTTGAGTGGAACCAAGAAGACATAAAAAAAAAACAAAAGGGGTGCACTGTGTGATAAACAATATTAGAAGCCACCAGAACTAAAAAAAAAAGAGAGAGAGAGAGAGACTGAGCTGAATAATTTTTATAAGAATAAGTCTCAAAATGCTGGTGGCTTTCAAAAGAGAAAGTGTGCTTAAAGAAGTAGGGGGGTTTAACTTAATGATGTAAAGGTGGAATGAAGGTTTGATAAGGTATGGGCTTAAAAGTGGAAAGTGTATTGAAGTGCTTAGGGAGGTGTAGTCACTATACCCATATGTATCCTACCTGTCCCGCAGCCAACATTACAATCAAATAAAGTCCTACTTGATTCTAGACCAAATGGGCTCGATTAGTCGAGTATTACACTACGGGCAAGCCTATGGTGCGTTGTTTGTGGCATAAGAATTTATTTCTGAGGGTGAGTGAAATCTTACGTGTTTGAATTCCTCAGTGTGTGAATTATATTGACATGACACAAGTCTCTTTTATGGTGAGTAGGCACATGATTCGTGAAGGAAAGGTAAGTCTGGATCTTTGACTGAGTGTATGAAAGCCGGTTAGGGACATACGTGGCTAGAGAGGGAGTCCACTCTTGAGGTTAGGAGGTTTCGCTAGGGTAGTCTATCTATGTGAACTATTATTGGTAAAAGGAGTAGGGAGGTGACCCAATGACGATTAGGCCTATAGAGTGTGGTTTTGTTGCTAGAGGACTAGCAACGATTTAAGTGTGGGGTGTTGATAGTAGCCTATATTATATGATGTAGATGCTATTTATGCCCTAAGTTAACCATACTTTATTGATGTTTTAAGTGCTAAATGATAACAAAATGCTCTAATTGAGGTTTTTATGCTTTGCAGGAGCTACCCCGAGTTAGAAGGAGAATATAGAGTGTTTTGGGGTCAAATATGTAGATACAAGGCCAATCGAGAAGAGCCCGGATGAAAACGAGCAAGAAAAGGTGAAGAAAAACTGGGCAACAGCTAACCGCGACCGCGGTGGGACCGCGGCTGGAACGCGGTGAAAGGAGGTCAAAAACAGAATGTTTGCAAAATGCCGCTGTCGTGCCGCGACCGCGGTGGATCTGGAGACAGTCAAGAAGTTTGAGGGCCAAAGTGTAAATCGTGGGAAACTTATCCTAACCCTATATAAACTCAACAAACTCGCCAAAGTGAAGGTTAAGCTGGTTTTTAGACTAAATTGGAGGCAAGAACAAGTGTGAGAAGATCAAGACACCATTAGAGTTTTTCAATCTTCTTCTTGTTATCATTATTTGCGAATTATGAATGATTTTATGGTTTTATCTTGCTTTACTATGAGTAGCTATACATTTAATCTAGGGTTAATGGAACCAATTGCTAGATGAAGTTTTGACTCAATTTCATTGTAATCGAGCCGGGTTTATTATATGATTGTTCAACTATGCTTTGTATGGTGATTAATTGAATGGGCCCTTGATTAATCGTGTCTAATTGCCTTGTGTTGCTTGAGAAAGAATACTAGGTTAGATTGTTGTTGAACAACACCACTTTTGGGAATTGAAGAGATTCATAACTTGAATTTAAAAGTGGGGTTAGAGATAAAGAAACTTTGGTGGGATAATTCCGAGCTGCATAAATTATCAGCTAGAGTAGTTCGAGAGAATGCTCTAGTAAATTATCGTAGTTGATCGAGAGATAATTGCGGTAACCCATAGCTCATAATCCTCATAGAGTATCACGGAGCAAAAGAGTTAAGAATTAAGCTAGCAATTAGGGAAATCAATACCCTAGATCTTTTTACCATCGAATTATCTTTAATTTAGAGTATTGTAGTTTTAATATCCTTTTACATTAGTTAAATAAATCTCCCTGTTTATTGATAAAAATCTTGCATCTGGAAATTGGTTGAACTTGTATTAGCATCACGAATAATTGTAACAGATAGGTTAGTTCCCTGAGAATTCGACTCCGGACTTGAAAAACTGGATTATATTTGCAACGACCGCTTTGTCTTTCATAAGGCATAGTTGGGCGTGATCAGTAGGTCTGGAAGCTAAGTCGAAAGATATTGTATTAGTGAAGGATCAGTGGAGAGAACAACTGGTCAAGGAGGCGACTTGGGGAACCGAGCATGATATGCGGAGCAGATTTCCTCACCTTTTTGGCACTTCATGTATAATTCCAAACTCGTTCGAGGACGAACGTTTGTTTAAGAGTGGGAGAATGTTTGGTTTTGGAGCTTTAGACTGGCCAAGATGAGGTGAGTGTCCTCCTAGCTTTAGTTGAAGGAAGTGTTCCTAATAAATGCATTGTTCGCTACATGCGGGAATGATGTATATATGAAGTAACGAGCGTATATACATATTCTATGGATATGCTCGGGGTAGATTTTATACTACTTTATGCCTTGTTTAGATTGTGTGTTCTACTTGTTCTATGCTTTACTTGATTGAATGACTACATGAGCACAATGAATTATGCAAGAGATAATGTTAGGTTAATTATACTTTCTTTTAGGCATGATGAGCCATTCTTAAGATTGACGATATACTTGACTTGGCCGTAGTTGCACATTGTATTATGAATACATATTCGCACATGTTATTCTTGTAATATACTTCAAATTATTGTATGACTGCTTGAATTCCCTTGTTGTTAGAGCTCATGGTTAGGCCATTGATGATTAATTGGACATAATTATTATTCGAAAGTTGAATCACAAGAAACTAAAACAACAAAAAGGTCATCATAACACCAAAAAGAGCATTACAATGCTCTTGAAAACAGTAATAACCAAACTATATTAAATCCTAGATATTAAAATCACAACAAAGACAAGGCAGGAAATAACAACAAACAACTTCATCCTTCGTAATTTATCCTCCATCTTAGACACATTCGCTAAATTGGCTGGATTAACGCGCTCCATTTCAGCCACCATGTTCTTCAATTTCTGTCTTTCTAGACAAACAGCATCCGCCAAGTCAGCCATATTTTATTCAAATAATTCCTTTGTACTTCTGCGCACTTCACTGAGACATTCAAGTTGTTGATTAGCATTATCACATATGGCGGCATATCTTGCGTGCGCTTTTCTCAAAGACCACCTAGCCTATCTTACTCTCCCTATGCAAAATAGTAGTTCGTCCAGCCGTCTTCTAGCGTAGAATTTACGTCCAGCATTCATATGAATCTTAGCAACAAAATGATTGACAATCAACTGGTAACCACATGGTGGGCTTTAGTTTTCCCCAAAAAAGAAACAACTTTTACAATCCAAAGCAAGTTTGGAAGAAAAGGGAACAAAAAATTAAGAACCGAAAGGAGGAAGAAATTTTGAAGAGGAAAAAATTGAACTACCCGAATTTGTTGAAGAAGACGATTGAAATCTGGGGCTACGACAATATACGAGGTTATATTGGAGTTGGGTGGTCCAAATGTTTGGGGCAGGTGTAACAAATGGGGCGGGTATAATTCAATCCAATTTGGGGTGCCACGTGACCAAATAAAGTGATGCCAGTGCATAAAAAAAGACCCACACATTATTCCTTAGTCATGAGGGTATTTTTTCTCTAAAAGATAACATTGTGTGCAATATTGAACGAATAGGTGAATGGAGATAAATAAATAGTACCATTTATCAAACAATAGAGGATATTTTGCATCATCTTCCAATTCTTTTAATCCCAACTACTCTGGATAAAAAAGCATGTTTTCCCAAGAGCAATATTTATTTATCATAAACTTCTAAATGAGTCCTATTGGATTCAACTACGAAAAATTAGTCAATTTGATTCATGCATCACTTACTTGCATTGTGTTTTTGTAATTTCCATTTTATCATAAACGTCTAAGGCCTCATTTGTTTTTATTAAGATTAAGACGTCTGAATCTGAATACACGTCTGAATATCAAGATGCATATTAAAATTTAGACATTTGATTTTGAATAAACGTGTGAATGTTAAGATGTGTATTAAGATCTGAATACTAAACGATTAAGACTGTTTGATTTTTAACATCTGAATATATAAAATTTATGTTTATTTGAAAATTAATAAACATAAAATTCAAATAAAATACTAATTAATCTAATATCCCATCACTAAAATATATAGCTTTTTGAAATATGATAATTGCTTGTAGTGATGGCTAACAGTAGTGCTTGTGAATACCGACTAAAAGCGGTTGATGGTGGTAGTTTAGGGTAGTAGCTAATGGTAATTGGTAGTTACAGCTATTATGATTGAGGATGGTGGTGATAGTTAATAATGGTGGGTAGTGGTGGTAGTAGTTGTGATTGAAGAAGATGGTGGTGAGTGGTGGAGATTTATAATGATGGGCGGTTCCAGCCATTGTTGATGGTGATGGGTGATTAGTTATGGTAATTGAGATGGATGAGTGTTGGTTGTCGTTGAGGACGACGGTGATGGGAGTGGTGGGGATGGTGGGTGGTGGTAGTCGATAATGGTGGCAACTATGATTGAAGATGATGGTGGTGGTGATTGAGTATGGTGGTAGTGGGTAGTATGGTGGTAGTGGGTAGTATGGTAGGCGGTGACAGCAGTTAATGAATATGGATGATAGCATCTTAATAAAATTAAATCTCTATTATAGATTTTAATGATACAGACCCATTAAGTGGTTGTGAAGTAAATAAAATAAAACACACTTAATGATTAAGATCTGAATAATTAAAATTCAAACTTTAAAAACAAACGCACATAATGTCCGAGATCTGTATGATTAAGATTCACACCTCCATTAAGTGTTGAGGCCTAAATGAGTCCTATCACATTCAACTACTAAAAATTAGTCAACTTGACTGATGCATCAGTTACTTGTATTGTGTTCTGTAATCTCCGCTTAAGTTATCAGTTCAAATTTAAGTTACCATTCTAATGGTTTGCGCCCAATTGTCGACCAATCATAGCATAGCCGACAACTTAAGCTCAAAAATTATGTTCCCTGGCACCAAGGAACTTGTAATAATTCTGCTGTTTCACGACTTACACTATTGAAATACAGGTTTACCTCGAACCAAACACATTCAACAAACACCAAGCATTTTGTATCAAAAGTGGTCTGGCCACAAAATTGAAGCAATTCTAGACCAAATTTCACAAGATGCATGGTGGTTTAGATATAGCTGCAGTTTTGGAGTTATGACTTCTCTTTATCCGCTGTTAGGGATGATGACTTGGGCCCTGCAAAGGATGTGTAGGTTATAGTGAGTCATCTCATCATAGTTTTGTATTACTTTCCACAATGTTCCCCACCAACAACTGCCCTACACTCAAGCGATGTGAATCAGGAAACATTAGCAGATTCATCACCGCAAACTTCTGAATCTGACTCATTCACCATCCTCTCAAGCGAATCCATGTTCCCAGCTTCTGGGATAGTATGTAAACGAAGCTTTTCAGCATCCTCACTGAGAAAGATTAGGGAAGGAAAAGTAAACAGTGATCAATGGCATTCCAATGTCTCGCACAATGATTGACAATTTTTTTTGAAGAAGTCACTTACTCTGCCACTCCAAATATTTCCTTAACAGTTAAGGAGCTATCCCTTGAGCAGAATTCTGGAAGCTGTAAGCAAGACAGTCAATTGAGGTTAAACTCAGAAGCACTTCATAATGAAATAAAAAGTTCTACTCTACTGGAAAACTTTGAGAGGGTTCATCTAGAGTGGTCGAACCAAATTTTACATCTTTAAACAAGATAGGCAGACTAGGAATAAAGATCTACCAAAACACAGGAAAATGCAGAGCCACTGAAAAATTAGATGCAGCGTCTCAATATGCTAGAAATTACCAAGGAAGTTAGTTCAGATGAATCCCCTGTCCAATTCTATGAATGCTAGTTTGACCCGTAACTGATACAAAGAGAATAGCTAAAAGAGTGAGTTATTTAGTATTTCTAGGGGAAAACGTGGGAAATACAATTATCTTTTATTTTCGGATAATAGAATAGAATAAAAGTGGTATTTCATAGAGTAGAAATGCATCCCAGGTAACTTTCGAGTTATATAGAAAACTTTCCCTTTTTAAGAGAAACTAAAACCACTTTGTTATGTCGTTGTTGTTGTTGTAAAACCACTTTGTTACAACCCAAAAAGGAAGTACAATTCTTTTGGACAGAGGGAGCATTTCTATATACAGGCCAGCAACAATCTACCTTGAATTCACCTGACCATAGATGCTAACAAGTTTCATTTTATCTTCGTCCCAGACCAGTGGCAGTTCACACATCCTAGTAGTTAAACATAAACATATAAATCTTTAACTTTATATGACACACAACTGAGCAATCAAGTTGAGATCTAAATGCTAGTGTATCAAAGTCACTAGCTTGTCTACAGATCATTATGAAGTTAGATCATACAGCAAAAACAAAAGCACACATCGGAAAAGAAATAAATAAGCCAACTGAGGAGGAGATACTTTTCATTAGGGGTGTTCACAAAAACCCGAAAAACCGAACCAAACCGAAAATCGAACCAAACCGATCAAAAAAATCGATACTTTTTAGGTTTGGTTTGNATATGTATTTTTATATAAAGTTTCTAAAATTTTATCGTACATATTAGTCATTTGTATTTTTAGTCTAGTTCTTTGCTATTATAATAATTTAATTCTTTGCCTTTACATTCTAGTTTGATTGGTAGTTTCCTTTTGCAAGTACAAGAATTTATTTCATGATAAAAATAATCGATTTTTAATTGAGTACTTAAATTATTCATCACTTTTTAATTCAATTATCATCAATATATCTTGGTAAATGATAGATTTCTCAAAGAGCAATTGATTTGATAGTGTTACGTTGAAAATGTAGTCGCCGGAATATGCATTTGGTAGTGTATGTCTCATATTTAAGAAAAAAACCGATAAATAACCGAAAAACCCGAAAAACCGACAAAAACCGAATCGATAAAAAATCGACTTAATTGGTTTGGTTTGGTTCCAATATTTGAAAAACCGACTTACTTGGTTTGGTTTCTTTTTAGGGAAAAACCGACCCAAACTGAACCATGAACACCCCTACTTTTCATGGCCAATTTAGTCAAGGAAAATATACAACAAAGTGTTAGAATAAACCGAGGGGAGAGAACAACGAATATTCTGAATCTCCAGGAAACAGAGTTTTTATTCACAAACTAAATGACTAAAGTTCACTGTGTTCTTCCTTTTTCAATTTTCTGCACCTATGAATCTCTGTACTAAAGAGAAGTATATAGAGAAGAGGAGACGGGGAGAACTTCCGATAATAACTACTACCCCGCGTTCTCACGTTTCTCAAAAGAAAACGTGCGGTAGTTTTTGGGAGTAAAAACCTACGTGTAACCTCCTTAGGTTTTATCCCCTTTTTTATCTCTTTTTAAAACGGGTCGGGTCAGTCCACATGGGCGACCCACGACCCAAACTTTATATCCAACATCTCCCACTTCGCACAGGTGGACTAGATCCAAACTAGTAACTACCGTGAAAGCAACACACATAATTCATACCGACAAATAGTTCGTGCGACGTGCGAGCATTAAGAGCCATAATATTCTTAATCCCTTTAAGGTTGTTTAACAGCTCTAATGCGGAAGGGATTTATTACTAACATGAGGATCTTGTTACTCGCAATACCCCAGACATCACTTGCTACTCCAGTAGCTAGTTATTTAATCTCTCATCCTCGAAAGAGGTGAACTCGAGTTCATGTTTAACTTTATATTCATAATTACATTTGATACCCTCATGGTAAGTGTAATGGTCGACCTATGAATACAAGTCAAATTAAAAAAAAAATTATTTATTTGTCTTCCTTTTCTACTCGAATCTTTCCATTCCAAATCAACTGCTTTCCTAGACATGCACTGCATTGCCGAATCACTCATGGCTATTAGTAACATGCTAAAGTAGCAACACTGATTGGCACTTCAAGAAACAGTAAAAGGTCAAAGGGCATTCCAATAAAAGTTAATGTAACTTCTTTGGGATCTCACACAATGAAGAAGCAGGGATTCATTCTTCCATTATCCCATTGGTCGATAGCACACGTGGTATGAAACACATGTTACGGTGTTCTCACCTTATATTGGCGCGTGTGTCTTATTCTTTTAATCATTCAACACCGTACAGATCTTAGTCTAGACACCTCCAAATGTCTAACCCGAGTTTCTGACTTCAATAATCCTCAAACCATCTTCTTAGAGAAACTTGCATCTGGCTTACAAAACAAGTCATAATCGAATATTGAAATTCATAGTCTCATTACTTATCAAGATCAACCTTTACAAGTAAATATAACCTCACATTATCCAAGGTTCTATAAGGTCTCATCTCTTCACGATTCTTAACGTAAGAGGCTATTGCTCGTGTGAGAGAGCCAATCTCGCAACTTGTTCGACACACTTTATCAACAAAATATTAATCACATGCATACAAGATATAAGCACAAATTCAAGAGTCAAATATTGATGAGCATATTATAATACTAAAGTCATTTTACAATACATAAATATGTTCATGTCCTTCGCAAACCTAGAGTCATAACATGTAATAAAATATCGTCCACATAAAGAGAAAGAATTACAAGCATCCCATTAGACTTCTTCACATAAATGCAATGGTCTTCATCGATCATGGTGAAATCATATGAGATCATATCCTTGTGAAATCTCAAATACCATTTCCTTGAAGATTGCTTCAGACCATAAATAGATCTCTTCAATTTACAGACCTTCTTTTCTTGGCTTTTAACGATGAAGCCTACAAGCTGTTCCATGTAGATTTCTTCGTTCAGTTCTCCATTGAGAAAAGCTTTCTTCACGTCCATTTGATGTAATTCCAAATCCAAACGTGCAACAATAGCCAAAAGTAAGCGAATTGAGGTAAACTTCACAACTGGTGAAAATGTTTCCTCATAATCTATTCCAGCTTCTTGAGTAAAGCCTTTTGCCACCAATCGTGCCTTGTATCTTTCTATTGACCCATCCACTTTGCGTTTAACTTTGAGAACCCATTTGTTCCCAATGACTCTACGCCCAGGCGAAAGATCAACTAGATCCCAGACTTTGTTGGTTTTCATGGACTCTAATTCTTCTTTCATTGCTTTCATCCACTCATCTTTTCCAGGGCTCGATAAAGCCTCAGTCACACACTTTGGCTCATCCATTTCTGTGGGAGATACCAAGAAAATATAATCTTCAATTTCATAAGTACGTTTGGGTATATTTTTCCTGGCACTCTTTCGTAGTTGAAATTCAGGTTCGTTAGAAGGATTTTGGGATTGGGAGTTCCCACTCCCACTCCCACTCGGATCAAGAATAAGATCTTGATCAATTTGATTATCAACTGTGTCAGAAGACACTTGCTGACTATCTGAATTCAATATTTCATAAAGAGGCTCTCCATTCTTTACCTCGCCCTTCTTTGGAAAATCATTTTCCAAAAATGTGACATCTCGCGATTCAATCTCAGTAACACTTCCATCTTCTAATTCACCAATGAACACATACCCTTTGGAGTGTTCTGAATATCTTATAAAGATACATTTCTTGCCTTTTGGACCTAATTTACCGAACTTGCTAAAAGAATCTTTTACGTATGCAGCACAACCCCAAGGTCTTAAATCCTTTAAGTTTGGTTTATGACCAGTCCATAGCTCATAAGGAGTGGAAGAAACTGATTTAGAAGGCACTTTGTTCAATATATAAGTTGCAGTCAATAACGCATCTCCCCAAAAGGTAAATTTGCCTGCGCACTTTAATCTTGCTTTAGAGGCCCGAATGCTTATCATTCTTGCCTGCCATCATGGACCTTATCATGTCCAGTAGTGTTTTATTCCTCCTTTCTGCTACACCATTTTGTTGAGGTGTGTATGGAATAGTTAACTGTCTGGTGATTCCCTTATCATTGCACAATTCTTCAAATTCTTTTGAAAGATATTCACGTCCTCTATCGGTTCTTAAGGTCTTAATCATTTTGTCTAATTGATTCTCAACTTCATATATTTCTTAAAGCATTCAAGCGCTTCAGATTTATGAGAGATCAGATAGACATAACCAAAGCGTGTGAAATCATCAATGAACCTAATGAAATATAAAGCATCAAACCTAGCCCTCACATTCATTGGACCACAGATATCAGAATGGATTAATTGCAATGGAAAATCAGCTCTCCTTACCCTTTCCATCATTTTTCCAGTTTCTCTTGCGCTTGAAGCTTGATCTCTTTGTACCACTTGATTCTGCCACAAAGGCATTAGGTACAGCTTTATCAACACCAAGCTGCTCGTCTTCAAGCTCCACATGACGGGCAACATCAGCAAAAGTTTTGATGCTATCATTGTGGGTCAAGTTAACCTTCAAATGTCCCCAATTATTGGGAAGAGACCGAATCACAGCCACTTTTGAGTTGAGCAATCATATTTGACATCACCCTTAGATGTTGCTTGACACCGTGATCATAATGCTTTTTGTACATGTCAAACTTGATTGTCAGCTGTAGAAGGCGAGTCACAGTCGTACCCCCATATGCCTCTCTTCAATGTGCACACATGGCTTGAGCAGTAGGATATTGCTCACATTCGTGGATGAGATCATCAGCAACTGAACTTACAATAGTTCCACGTGC